CCCAAATGGTGAAGGAGACTCTGAGTTCGGCCCGGCCAACTTATTGCTTTTTAACTTGTTTCTTTTTTATCCAAAATCCAAAAACTTATTCTAGGCCAAATTTCCAAGACCCACCTCCCCAGACCTAAGTCTGGTTTCAACACTAACACCGACTAAGTGTGGATAAGGTTAGAGGATGTGTGGTCGCCTTATAACCACTCCAATCGAGGATCTGCTGGTCCATTGTGTTCGTATTAAATTTTCCGAGGGAAGAGAAAGAGAGGAACGTAGAAAGATAGATAGAAACAAGTAAAAAACTGTACTTTCAGTCGGACCGAACTTAAAATATCCTCCACCATTTGGTTCGAAATTGGCAATTCTCAAAACAAAATAAAATCCGTTAAAAATTCAGTTAAAATCTTAGAAATACCGAATGAAGCCGTTATATTAGGGTCGTGTAGACCCATGGACGACATGGACCTGCATAGGCAATTTTTGTCATAAGCCATTTCAATATTCAAATGCGAAACTTAAGAAAAATCATCAAAATACCGAATATCGGGAGCTGCCGTTATATTGGGGGCTATACGTGGACCTGCACATAGACTTTTCTGCCATAGCCTGTAGTGCTCATTACGAACTTCAAATACCAAATTTGAAACAACTCCGGAGAAGAATGTCGCTAAAATCATCAAAATATCGAATATCGGGAGATGTCGTTATATGGGGGCTACACGAAGGTGTGGACCTGCACAGACCATTGGCTGTCATAGCCTACGAATTTTAAATACCAAATTTTTACCAAACAATTCCGGTGAATAATGTCGCTAAAATCCTCTAAATGCCGGATATCGGAAGGTGTCGTTATATGGGGGCTATACAAAGGAGTGGACCGGACAATTTTTTGTCGTAGACTGTAGTATCCATTGCGAACTTCAAATACCACATTTGAAACAATTCCGAAGAAGAATGTCGCTAAAATTATCAAAATATCGAATATCTGGAGGTGTCGTTTTATGAGGCTATACAAAGGAGTGGACCTGCACGGACAATTTTCTGTCTCAGACTGTAGTATCCATTGCGATCTTCAAATACCGAATTTGAAACAATTCCGGAGAAGAATGTCGCTAAGATCACAAAAATACCGAATATCGGAAGGTGGTGTTATATGGGGGCTATACGAAGGCACCTGGTAGAAGTTCTTTTTAGCACTTTACCCCCTAAAAGAGAAATGTCTATATAGGGCTACGGTATCATATAGCTCCATCATAATAGGTATTTTCTCTAGTCTCCACCATAGAATGGTGGATATATTAAGTTTGTCATTCCGTTTGTAACACCTCGAAATATACTTTTCAGACCCCACAGAGTATATATATTGATCTTGATCGGCATAAAATTCTATGTCTATTTAGCGATGTCCGTCCGTCTGTAGAAATCACTCTAGCTTCCGAACGAAATAAAGAAGGTTGATAAAATTTTACTCAATTATAAATTATGTCTACAGGACTTTTAGTATTGAAAATGGGCCATGTAGGTCCACGCTTTGGAATAACCCCCATATTTCAGAATTTCGGTGATTTTAGCGACACTATCCACCGGAATTGTTTCAAATTTGGTATTTAAAGTTCGTAATGAATACTACAGCCTAAGGCAGAATATTCTCTGTGCAGGTTCATGTCTTCGTATAGCTCTCATATAACGGTCCCTCCCGATATTCTGTATTTTGATGATTTAAGCGACATTACTCACCGGAATTGTTTTAAATTTGGTATTTGAAGTTCGCAACGAATACTACAGCCTACGACAGAAAATTGTCTGTGCAGGTCCACGTTTTCATGCAGCCCCCATAAAACAGTACCTCCCGATATTCGGTATTTTGATGATTTTAGCGACACTATTCACCGGAATTGTTTCAAATTTGGTATTTTAAGTACGTAGCGGGTACTACAGCCTACGACAGAAAATTGTCTGTGCAGGTCCAGCCCACGACAGAAAATTGGCTGTGTCGGCTTACGTCTTCGTGTAGCCCCCATATAACTGTATTTTCCATTATTTTTGTGACATTTTTCACCATGTTTTCATGCTTTGTATTTAAAGTTCGTAACGGGTACTACAGCCTATGACAAAAATGTTCGTATACAGGTCCACGTTTTGGTATTGCCCCTACATATTCTTTATTCGGTATTTGGGTGATTTTAGACACATTATTCACCGATTTTTTTCAAGTTTCGTATTTGAATATTGTAATGGCTTAGAAAAAAATTTGCCTATGCAGATCAACGTCTTCGTATTGACCCCAGTATAACGGCTTTGTACGAAATTTTCAAAAATTTAACAAAATTTAAAACGGATTTTATATTTTGGAAAATGTTTAAATTTCTTCCAAATGATGGAGGGAGGATCCGGCCGAACTTCCTGCTTTTTTACTTATCTATATATAAAAAAATCAATTGTTGTTTGTTGGTAACGGAATCAGTTAAAAACGGCTGGACCGATTTGCATAATTTTTTGTACAAACGTTCGTCATACCCCGAGTTAGGTTTTTAAAGAAAAAAATATTGACCACGCCTACTTTTACGCCCACAATCTTGATTTATCTAAAATCTTTATATTTGCCAGATAATGAAGATATCGGTTTGAAAATTATTACACGAGATACTGTTGACTTTCCCTCCAAACTTAGGAATTTATTTGGGCGCCAGGGAACTGACCTCGCATTCTTCTAATCTGTCTATATATATATAAGGAAGTTGTGTTAGTTACTACGCTTATAACTCAAGAACCGCTGATCTGATTTTAACGATTTACACAAATTCGGAATTGTCTCTTGGCAGAAAAGGATAAAATCCAAAAAAATCGCGTAAAAATTTGAAATTTTAAAATTTTCATTTTGACTTTTGAAGTGTACAATAGTAATGTTTTATTTTGCATGATTTTTTTCCATTTAGACTTACTATTTCGGAATGTACATTTGTAGTGTTTTTTTAATTCTAATATGATGTGTAGTCTTTTTGGGCAGTAGAAAGCGACGAAAATTATGGATGGCGGAACTGAATAGATGATGTCAAAATAATTTAACGTGGTCAAACCAAAATTGCTAAAAAATCAAAAAAGAGCATATTGCACTGCAAAAACTCTAAAATAGGGAAAAACTGAGAACATTTTTTTCAATGGAATCAAATTTTAAAATAATAGTAAGGACCAAACTTCGTAAGGACCTTTAAATATTGGCTGTAAAAAACCAGCGAACAAGTTGAAGATTTTTTTTCAATTTGTTTATTAGTTACTATGCTTATAACTCAAGAACGTTTTGACGGATTTTCACAATTCATACAACTTCGCAATGGAACCTTGCAAAAAAAATTGAGTAAAATATGCCAAAAAAAATATAAAAGAAAAAATCCTTTTGGCGTGAAATTTTTTCATTTTAAAAACTATATAGAAGTGTACATTTTTTATTGTTTTGAATTCTGAATGAATAATATCAAAAATGAAATAGTACGCAATAAGATGTTAAATGGCGATCTTTTATGTCTGAAATTGGCATTTAGCTTTCAACTCCAGGATCTACATCGTGCTTCAGCTGGAAGATGCGAACACATTTAAATAAGCAAAAATAACCGACAAAACGTTATGGGGCTCATTTCAATACGTGGACCTACCTACTTCTATCACATGACAATAATCCGTCCAATGAGAACTCAATATGCAAAATTCATTGGGACTGCAATCAGTAAAATACCGAATATAAAGGGAAAAGGATTTCTATTCTTTCAGAAATTCTTCCTAAACTTTCACGATACCTTAAATCACTTTTGCAGTTCATGATATGGGCCATAACCCCCGGATAAGGATACAACCCGATTTCAAGTATATCTTACATTTTAACCATATTTTCATACTAATTTTGGCAAATGTTGGTAATTTGAGAAGAAACAATCTATGCAAAAACTGATCACGTTTTGTATAACCATCATATGATTTAAGGAACCGGACATTTGTTTAATCGTCTTTGAGTTATACTATGATAAAAGATATGGAAATTATGGGGTCTCCAACGCGCAATTTCAATGACAAATAATTCATATTACTTTAAAAACAAATAGAAAAATTAAGTTATATTCTACTATCATCCATCTGAGGGTAAAGGAAACCTTTTTATATAAAAGTATCTAAATTCAAGCGTGTTTCACTTTAAACTTCATATACCAGTAAGACTGTTTGGATACTGCAGTTAACTTATCAAAAAACCATAAAGTGAATGAGGCCGTTATATGGGGCCATTCCAAAACGGGAACCTCTGTGGACAATTTTATACTTCAAGGATTGTCACCTTCTAAAATACCAAATTTAAAATAATTATACGCGTATATGTGTGGATTATCAACATACCCAATATAGGTAGGTATCGTTATATGTGTTAGACAAATCCGAGGAGAAATGTGGCAAAAATCATCAAAATACCGAATTTCGAGAGATACCGTTATATGGGGACTATACCAAAACGTGAACCGATAGATCATTTTCAATACCAACCATCCTATACACATTACAAATTTTTCAGCTAAATTTTGACGCTATACGTCAAATAATGTGGGCTGTATCGTAATTTAAACAAACAGACATACAGACGGACAAATCGACTTAGAGTTTTATACTGATTATGAATATATATGCATATTTAATGGGGTCTATGACGAACATTTAGTGATGTTACAAATGGAATGAAAAGTTAATATACCCTCCTTTCCAAGGTGGATGATATAATAGCATTAAAGACTAAAATTACGGGCCGGCAACGCGGACCGGGCCAGCTAGTTATGTGTAAAATAATTGTTTGAGTTACAAATGGAATGACGAACTAATTATACCCTCCATACAATGTATCGTGGAGGGTATAAAAATCTTAAAACATGTGTAAAAGGGGAAAATTACACTCATCTCATTTGCGACTTAGATTTTTAAAAAATTGAGATTTTTTTTGAGTTTTTCAAATAAAAAAGATGTTGGCTGTTTTTGTCGTTATGGAAACATTACAATTTTGTCGTTATTTTATATTTCATTGCCTATGGCCACCATACATGCATTCACTTGTTACAATCACTTAATTTTGGATACCCAAAATATCCAATACTTTTGACATCCCGAAGTAAGTCCTTTTGATTTGACAATATTGAAAATATCGTCTTCTCCAGATGATCGTATTGGAAATGTGGTGAGAATGGCATTTCCTCGAAGGCCAATATTTCAACACGTCCCTTGTCGTTGCCCACGGCCACTGAGCGACCGCATCGTGATAGACTAAAATTGGAAAAACAAAGAAGAATTTGAAAAAGTTCCAATTTTTTTTTTATTTGTCCATAATTGATTTCCTTCAACCCACCTCAATGTTGTGTAATACGCTGTACTGTCGATCCTTGTCGATGATGCTGGCTGTAAAATGCTGCGTCTCAAATCCCAGACGTCAACGGTATCTCGATGTAGGGCCACAATAATCGACGAGTGTACCGTACTCCATGTGGCACAGTAGACCGGACTCATGTGGTATTTTAGAGTTATCAGCGGCCTGAAAATACCCATTAACCAAATGCGAATGCACCTGGAAGGAGATAATCGGCAATTAAAATAAACAAGTAAAAAAGCTGTACGTTCGGCCGGGCCGAACTTTGAATACCCTCCACCATTTGGTAAGCATTTGGGAGGTATCATGGGGTTATACTAAAACGTGGAGCTGCACAGACAATTTTCTGCCATAGGCTATGGAATTAATTACGACCTTCAGATACTAAATTTGAAATAGTACCGGTAAATAATGTCGCTAAAATCATCAAAATACCGAATATCGGGGGGACAGTTATATAGGGGCTATACGAAGACGTGGACCCGCACAGACAATTTTCTGTCATAGGCTGTAGTATACATTACGACCTTCAAATACTAAATTTGAAATAGTTCCGGTAAATAATGTCTCTAAAATCATCAAAACACCCAATATTGGGAGGTACTGTTATATGGGGGCTACACGAAGACGTGGACCTACATGGCTCATTTTCTGCCTTAGGATGTAGTATCCATTAAGATCTTTAAATACCAATTTTGAAATAAAATACCGCATATCGGGAGGTACCGTTATATGGGGGCTATGCGAAGACGTGGACCTACATGGCCCATTGTCTGTCTCAAGCCGTAGTATCTGTTACAAACTTTAAATGCCAATTTGGAAAAAATTCCGGTAAATAATGTCGCTAAAATCATCAAAATACCGCATATCGGGTGGTACCGTTACATGGGGGATATACGAAGACGTGGGGCTATACGACGCCCATTTTCAATACCAAATGTCCTGCAGACGTAATACACATTGGAGTAAAATTTTATCAACTTACTTCATTTCGTTCGGAAGCTAGAGTGATATCCACAGACGGACAAACGGATATACATCGGACATCGTGGACAGTTTCGCGAAAGGGATTAGGGTGTGAAAACTTTCAGGATACAGCTGGTACAAGAATTGGACCCCAACGACCTACAGAGAATTATGTCGACACAACTTTAAAGATTTGCTTCAGATTTCAGAGCTCTGCACTGTTCGGTGTGCGAAAAATAGTGGAGTACCTTTTTTTGTATGGATAAGACCATATAAAGGCTCCGGACGAAGTTTCAAAACTTGAGAACTAGAAAACCAAGTTGCACCAATGCACCTTCCTTTAAAGGCCATTTTTATACCATCCACCTTGAAAAGGAGGGTATATTAACATTGTCATTCGTTGTAGACACGATAATGTATATATATTCATAATCAGCATAAAATGCTGATGTCCGTCTGTCTGTCTGTCCGTCTGTCTGTTGAAATCACGATACAGCCCACATTATTTGATGTAGAACGTCAAAATCTAGCAGAATAATTTGTACATTATTCACCGGAATCGTTTTAAATTTCGTATTTGAATTTCGTCATGGGTACTACAGCCTTTGGCAAAAGTTTTCGTATGCAGGTCCACGTCTTCTGCTATATAGTTCCCATATAACGATTTTAATTTAAGTGGTGGTTTTCCGATTTTTTTTTTTTTTTTTGAAAATTTCCAAGTTCCTTCCAAATGGTGGAGGCTATTAAAATTTCGGCCCAGTTGAACTAAATAGTACTTTATATCGGACAATATTTGCTATGACCACAAACACGGCTAGATACATTTAATTTGGAACAATCTCATTTTAAATTAAATAGGGTTAAGGCTGTCAAGAAATCAGATGAACAAGTGATTTTGGGAAATTCTACCAAACTCTTCCCCCTCAGAACTCCGAGTACCGAAATTCATATTTACAAATTGTTGCTATATTTCATAGTAGGTATTGGAGCCTTACCAATCATTGCCACAGGTCAAATACAATTTCGGTGACCATGGTGAAAATTCCATATAATTAATACCGGCCTCATGCAGCTGCAGAACGTGTAACTGTTGCTGGGGATAATTGGTCGAACATTTGTGCTGGCATCCCTCATCGGTGAGGACATAATACACATCTGTTTGCTGGGCATCCAAAGCGATGTACATGCCCTGCGGATGACGATTTGCCTCCAGGAGTATTGGCTTGTTGTCCAGCAGTATACCCTCAGCATTGCCATCGACTCGATTTAGTTTCATCAGCTGGTATCCCAAGAGATATGGACTATTGATGAGACTATATCTGGTAATGGAACCATCTCGGGCCAATGCCAGAAATGGCTCAATGTCATGGAGTCGTGTTTCACTCTTGCTATGGGGTATCCATCTAATGCAGGCTATCGGTTCACTGCTGGGCGAGGTGGAGCGCTGAGATTGCGCTATTTGGGGCCTTTCAATGTTGCTAATGTCATAGACATGTAGGGTGCCATCATAGAGACCAATGGCAATCAGTTGTGGAACAAATGGTGAAAATTCCACCGCCAGAACGGGTACATTGAAATGATAGATTCTCTCAGGGTTGACGGGATTTTTGATGTTCCAAATGCAAACGCAGCCACGTTGTGGTACCACAGTTGCGGTGGAGCCAAATATGCCATAGCTGGCGGCCAAGATGTCGCCATGTTTCGGACACCAACTTAAGGCGGTAATCGATTGACTGTCACCTGCCTGCAGGGGTATACTGAATGTCCACAAAAGATCCATGCGATAGCTGTAGCGCACCTGCAAGGCCAACGGGTCCGGCATGATCATGTTGCGAAAACGTCTCTGGGCTCTCTCAAAATTATTGCCGGCCAAAATGCGCATGGTCAACATGAGGGCGAGATTGAATTGTGGCGTTTTATTGATATCGACAAATTGATCCACCCCACCCACTTTGTAGGTGGTCACCTGCATCTTGTGCCTTCCATCCACATCGACACTCTGTGTGGTCTGCTCCAGATCCTTGTACGTGTCGAACATTTCAAAATTCGAAACATATGAGGCGACATTGCCCTTGGCAATTGAATCCGTATTGACGCTACGAGTTTTGGTCAGTATCACCGATGTTTGGGTCTCCACCGGGAAGCAAATGCGTTTGCGTCCCTGGCCTTGGGTTAGATATTCATAACGTCGATTATCTTCCTCCACCAAACGGCCCTCCTCACTATCTCGCAGTACCGTTGTGCTGCGCTGTTCGTAGAGCACAATGTCAGCGGTTTTCTTGAGAGTTATTTTGATAAAGGGATTCATGCGTTTCGGCAACTGGCGTCGGCAGACACTCAGCGATGGGGCCAAACGATTGGGCTGTACATTGACCATGATCTTACTTTGTTTGATCTGCAGAGGGAAGGGGAAAATAATGAAAATGAGAGAAGAGAAAAGGAAAAGAGAATTCGTTAAAATCTCGCAACTACCGAATGTAGCCGTTATATTAGAGTCTATACGATGACTTGGACTTGCATCATCAAAATACCGAATATAGGGAGGTACTATTATATGGGGCTATAGCAAAACGTGGACCTGCACAAACAATTCCTGTCATAGGCTGTAGTATCTATTACGAACATCAAATACCAAATTTGAAACAATTCCGGTTAATAATGTCGCTAAAACCATCAAAATACCGAATATCGGGAGGTACCGTTATATCAGGGCTATACGAAAACGTGGACCTTCATGGCCCATTTTCTGTCCTATACTGTAGTATCTATGACGAATTTCAAATACCAAATTTTAAACAATTCCGGTAAATAATGTCGCTAAAATCGTCAAAATACCGCATATCGGGTGGTACCGTTATATGGGGGCTATACGAAGACGTGGACCTGCACAGAAGATTTTCTGTCATAGGCTGTAGTATTCCTTACTAAATTCAAATACCAAATTTGAAACAATTCCGGTGAATAATGTCGCCAAAATTATCAAAATACCGAATATCGGGGGGGGGGGGGGGGGGGGGGGAACCATTATTTGGGGGCTATACGAAGACGTGGACCTATATGGCCCACTTTCAATACCAAAAGTTCTGCAGACAGAATACACATTTGAGTAAATTTTTATCAACTTACTTCAGTTCGTTCAGAAGCTAGAGTGATTTCCACAGACTGACAGACGGACGGAATGTCTATACTTTGTGGGGTCTAAAATGTATATTTCGAGGTGTTACAAACGGAATGACAAACTTAATGTACCCTCCATACTATGATGGAGGGTATAAAAATAGAAAAAGTAAACTATTAAATGCCTGCTTACACATCATGTTAGAGTCACATGTAAAGAGGCTTTTTTTCCCATCTAGCAGTACAATTTTTTTAAAGCATGCTTTTAGGCGCTCTCCAGAGTTTTTTTAAAACAAAATAGAAACCCTTTGCAATGTAAAATAAATGTTTATATAATAGGTCATTTTTAGCTGCTCTGGCTTTGGAAACACTGGTATAAACAACTCACGCACGTTTCGCTTTTCTATTTAAATACAGATGTCATCTATTTTTTTTTTAATTTATTTAATTTTGATCTTGCTTTTTGGTAAAAAACTTTTCCGTAGCTTCAAAAAAATGCCCTGATATATAATCTGGCCACAAGAAACTTTTCATCTCAACTTACACCCTCCTCGATATCATCCAAAGTTGTCCGTATCGAGCCAAGCCCCTTCTGTGCTGGCATCTGCAATTCTTCCGAGTCCTCCGATCTGAACGAATCTTGACTTTGTAGCGTTTCATGTCGATTTATTTTAAGATTTAGTTTTTCAAATTTCTCTCGTAGATATTCTTCTGGATTTAGGGACATTTTTCAAATGCCTGCAATACTGGAGTTGTGTTTTTTTTTTTTTTGTTTATTTTTAAATATCCTCAGAAGCCGGTTACATAGTTCCCGTAGCACTGTAGCTTGGCAACAAATGTTTGTTAAGTTGCCGGGTAAATTTATCAATACCTCAGTTATTAAGTTAAAAAGTATCTGTCAGTTTTGCCGACAGATGTATACCCTCAGCCAATGTACGATTACTTAACCATATTTTGACTTCTGTTATGATTATTCAAATGTTTAACTTCTTGTGGAGTACGTTCCGAAAGAATGGGCCAATATTGGCCATTTCGTATCGGACCTAAATAAATATGATATAAATATTGCGACGGGCCAGGATTGGACTATATTGGTAACTTCCTTCACTTTACATAAATATATGATAATTTTTAGAAAATCCTAACGTGCATGGGCTACCAGATATAGTCGTTTGAAGCATTATATTTTCATGCTTCTTTAATACATATAAACATATTGGGCAATATTACAAGAAAATCGAACATTTGTATCCAATTTATGAAAAATCATTAATTCCATATACATCTCAGGTTTCTGACAAAGAGACATATATTTAGATATAGCAAATAATGACAATACAAGTATTAAAAATTGTGACCCTTTTTGAATGAGGTACCAGAAGGGGTTCACCTATATATATATATATATATATATATATATATATATATATATATATATATATATATATATATATATATATATATATATATATATATATATATATATATATATATATATATATATATATATATATCATCAGCACAACAGATAATGGTTTATCAAAAATGTTTGTATTTGTGGAATTTTAAGAGAGTTGGATACCAAAAGAAGTGGACCAATATATCCCATCTTCACAAAAGATCTTTTGTTAGTGAAAATAATGGGTTATGTGAAATATAAAGAGAACCTGACGCTTACTTCGGGTTTTATAAATGTTTTGGTTATTAAAAAATTTGACCCTTAGGGGGGAGGTACCAGAAGGACTTGATGGAGTGTGGATGGAGTGGATGGATCATTCATTTTTGCACCTGACCTAGAACTGACGCAAACATTAGGATTTGAAAAGTTGGATCAAAATCAGGTTATTGCTTATCTTTCTTTGCAGAAAATATATAATCGACTCTTAAATCAAATTTTATAAGAGTTGCAATTATTCAAAATTTTGTCTTTTTGTGGGAGAGGTACTTGATTGAGTGGACCGATGTTGTCCATATTCGCACCTGACGTAGCACTGACGCAAATATTAGCATATGCAAAGTTAGAGCAAAATCGGATTATCGTTTCTCTTTTTGTGCAAAAAATACATTTTTTGAAATTTTCGACATTTTGTATGGGAGGGAGTGGACCGATACATACCATTTTCACACCAGACCTTGGGTTAATAAAATTATTAAGATGTGTGAAATTTGAAGACAATCGGGCTCTTACATAACATTTTATCAGAGTTGTAATTATTCAAAATTTTGACCCTGTGTGGGGGAGGTACCTGATGGAGTGGACCGATATTGTCAATTTTCGCACCTGGCCTAGAACTGATGAAGATATTATGATTCGCAAAGTTGGAGCAAAATCGGATCATCCTTTCTCTTTCTGTGTAATAAATTATTTTCTTTGAAAATTTTGATAGTTTGTGTGGGAGGTACCAGAAGGAGTGGACCGATATTGTCCATCTCCGAACTCGATCTAAGTTTGACAATAATATTACGATGTACCAACTTTGGATCAAATCGGATACTCCCTTCGAGAGTTATCGTGCGCACCAGCCAGACAGACAGACAGACGGACGGACATCGCTAGATCGACTCCAAATGTTCTGAAACGGATTTGGTCCAAAGAGACCTAGGGTCTAAAACAGTTATTTCGACTAGGAACGTTTTGGCCGTATCAAATGATATATACCCTCTGTAGCCATATGGCTGAGGGTATAAAAATAGTAAAATATAGACCAAACATGTGGTAATCTTCACCATTGGAATCGGTTAGCAGTTAGTTTTGTTGTGAACTTATGTATTAGAAGCCAGGTCGTTAGTAAAAAAGTAATGATAATTAAAAACAAGCGAGCAAAGGCTAAAGCTATGCGGGGCCGACCATGTAAGGTATCACATATTATCGCATATCACTACTACTACTACCCCTTATATCCAAACCATGTTGGAAGAACTCGTTTTTGACATGATGTCAAAGAGCACCGCCCAGAGGTTACCCCAAGTTTTTTGACCCGGTGAATTTGGCCAATATTTACGCATTCCGTAGTCTTTTTAAGTAATCAAAACAATTTCAAAACAATTTCATGCGAAATTCCGGGTCGATTAGTTTTCAATTCTGGCCTATAGAACGACTACTAAATTAGAAAAAATTAATTTTGTTTTAGTCCATTTGCACCTCTAAATGTACATCTTAATAACAATAGGCTTTAATTTTGACCCTAACCCTACCCCCATGCAAAATTTCATGAGGATCAGACGATAATTGCGATATGCATATAATACCCTCACTTCGCGTCGATTGGTTCATGATTGTGGCCTATAGATCAACTGCAAAATCAGGAATTTTTTCAGTTTTTGGTCCATTTCAAACCCTAAATATCGTGCGATCGTCTCCAAAAATAATAGGGTTATATTCTGACCATAACCCCACCTCCATTTTCAATTTCGTGAGGATCAACTAATAATTGCGACCTGTAGCTTGATTATAAATTAACATGGACAGACTGACAGACGGACGGACATACATAGCAAGATCGACTCGTCTCAGTGAGATAGGAAGATCCATATATACTTTCCTATGCGGGAAACCAATATTTCGAGGTGTTACATAATTGTTGGCCCAATCAAACTTATAATACCCCCAACATATAGTGTTGTAGGGTATAAAAAATAGTAATAACAAAAAAAAAAAAAAAAAAACAATAACAAGTTAATCAAATAGAAAAGCAGTAAGTTCGGCCGGGCCGAACTTTGAATACCCTCTACCATTTGGAACGAATTTGGAAATTTTCAAAAAAAAGAATTCTGCTAAAATTTAAAAAATACCGAATATAGCCGTTGGGGTCTATACGACGTGGACCTACATAAGCATTATTTGTCATAAGCTATTACCATATTCAAATTCGAAAGTGAAATAAACTGTTAATAATCATCAAAATACCGTATATAGGGAGGTACCGTTATATCGGAGCTATACGAAAAACCTGGACCTGCATAGACAACTATCTGTAACAGGCTGTAGAATCCATTACAAACTTCCAATACGACATCTAAAACAATTTCGGTGAGTATTGTACCTAAAACTACCGAATGTAGGGAGGTACTGATATATGGGGCCTATACGAAAACCTGGACCTGCGTAGACAATTTGCTGTCACAGACTGTAGTTCCCATTACGAACTCTAAATACGTAATTTGAAACTACTCCGGGGAATAATGACGCTAAAATCATCAAAATACCGAATATCGGGAGGTACCGTTATATGGGGGCTATATAAAAACGTATGGTTTTCTGAATTTAAGTTCTATGCAGGTCATTTCTGGGTCTATGTTTTCCCTCTCTAAAGCCAGTTAATGTTCATGGGCCGTAGTGCGGTCTAGTTTATAAAAATAGAACTTCAGCGAAGTGTTTCTCTTCTTGATTGTTATACCGAGATGAACATTTTTGAAATTCAATTCTCACCCTCTAACCCCACTCCCCCGCCCCTTAATAGTTTGGCCTGCAATAAATCGAATCATTCAGTGGAAAAGAAAAAATGCACCGTATTTGTTTTTGCATTATTTGCTTCATTTTAATGGAAAACATAGCTTTCCACCCACCATCGCGCTTGTTACCGAGGTTTCTGATTATGGGAAATAAAAATATCGAATTTCACTCAACGGCTGCACGAGCCTATCGGCAGAGAGAGGTAAACGTCCAATTATGAGACTACAATTCGCGTCACAATACCCTGAAGTGAACGGACACGTATCAAAAGTGACAGCTGAAGTGTGCTGTTGAAAAAGGGAAATTTGTACTTCATTTTCTTCGGAATTGTTTGCGAAGGATGCCCGAGAAAAATGAAAGACGCTTGTTTGTTTGTAATGAGGGTATGTTAAGTTCGCAATTCCGTTAGTAACTCATCGAAATAATGATTTTAGACATAACAAGGTATATATTCTTGATTAGCGTAAAATTTCGTCCGTCCGTCTCATGTAATCACGTTAGAGCCAAAACTAATAAAGATAGGATGCTAGAACAATTTTGCACAGTTCAGCCATTTGTCTGTAGACAGGTCAAGTTCGAAGATGGGTTGAATCGGTCCACGATATCGTATAACCCCCATATAACTTTACCCCCCGATAGCCCTATACATGTTTATACCCTCCACCATACTATGGAGGGTATATCAATTTTGTCATTCCGTTTGTAACTCCTCGAAATACTCATGTCAGACCCAACAAAGTATATATATTCTTGATCAGCGTAAAATTCTAAGACGATTTAGCCATGTCCGTCTGTGTGTCTGTCTGTCTGTTGTAATCACGCTATCTTTCGAACAAATTGAGATAGAATGCTAAAATTTTGCACACATATATATTTTATCAGTAGGCAGGTAAAGTTCGTTACTGGGCCATGTAGGTCCACGTCTTCGTATAGCCCCCATATAACGGTACCTCCCGATATTCGGTATTTTGATGATTTTAGCGACATTATTCACAGGAATTGTTTCAAATTTGGCATTTAAAGTTCGTAATAGATACTACAGCCTAAGACAGAAAATAATCTGTGTAGGTCCACGTCTTCGTATAGCCCCCATATAACGGTACCCCCCGATATTCGGTATTTTGATGATTTTAGCGACATTACTTAACGGAATCGTTCCAAATTTGATATTTGAAGTTCGTAATAGATACTGCAGCATAAAACAGAAAATGGGCCATGTAGGTCTCCGCCTTCGTATAGCCACCATATACCGTACCGTTCGGCCCGGCCGAACTTACAGCTTTTTTACTTGTTTTTTTTTTTTCATTTAAGTGTATTTTTATACCCTCCACCTTGGAAAGGAGGGTATATTAACTTTGTCATTCCGTTTGTAACATCCTTAAATATTCATCTTAGACCCCATAAAGTATATATATTCATAATCAGCATAAAATTCTAAGTCGATTTAACGATGTCCGTCTGTCTGTCTGTCTGTCTGTCTGTCCGTCTGTCTGTCTGTCCGTCTGTCTGTTGAAATCACGATACAGCCCACAATATTTGACGTAGAGCGCCAAAATTTAGCAGAGATATTTGCATTGTGTCTAGGATGGTTGGTATTGAAAATGAGATATATCGGTCCACGTTCTGGTATAGTCCCCATATAACGGTACCTCCCGATATTCGGTATTTTGATGATTTATGCCACATTTTATCACGGATTTGTCTGGAAATTGGTATTTGTAGGTCATAATGGGTCCCTGAGCGTGTAGCGAAACATTGCATGTATGGGTCCATGAATTGGTATAGCCCCCATATAACGGTATCTCCCGATATTCGGTATTTTCATGGTTTTTGCCACATTTTTTCACTGATTTGTCTAAAAATTGGTATTTGTGGGTCATAATGGGTCCTAGTTCGTGTGGCGAAACATTGTAATTATAGGTCCACGTTTTGGTATAGCCCCCATATAACGGTACCTCCCGATATTCGGTAATTTGATGATTTTTGCCACATTTTTTCACGGATTTGTCTGAAAATTGGTATTTGTGGGTCATAATGGGTTCCAGCTTCGGTGTCGAAACAATGCATGCGTGGGTCCATGATTTGATATAGCCCCCATATAACGGTACCTCCCGATATTCGGTATTTTGATGGTTTTTGCCACATTTTTTCACTGATTTGTCTAAAAATTGGTATTTGTGGGTCATAATGGGTCCTAGTTCGTGTGGCGAAACATTGTAATTATAGGTCCACGTTTTGGTGTAGCCCCCATATAACGGAACCTCCCAATATTCGGCATTTTAATGCTTTTTGCCACATTTCTTCTAATGTTTCTTTTACCCTAAGGTGGAGGGTATTAAAAGTTTGGCCCGGCCGAACTTAATGTTTTTTTACTTGTTTATTTTATACCCCCATCATAGTATGGAGGGTATATTAAGTTTGTCATTCTATTTTTAACACCTCGAAATACACATTTTAGACCCCACAAAATATATATATTCCTTATTAGCATAAAATTCTATGTCGATTTAGCAATGTACGGCCGGCGGTCTGTCCGTCTGTGGAAATCACTCTAGCTTCCGAACGAATTGAAGTAGATTGATAAAATTTTGCTCAAATGTATGTTATGTCTGCAGGACTTTTGGTATTGAAAATGGGCCATGCAGGTTCACGATTTGGTATAGCCCCTATATAACGGTACTCCACATATTCGGTATTTTGATGATTTTAGCGACATTATTCACCGGAATTGTTTCAAATTTCGTATTTGAAGTTTGTAATGGATACTACAGGCTAAGACAGAAAATTGTGCAGGTCCACGTCTTCGTATAGCCCCATATAGCGGTACCTCCCGATATTCTGTATTTTAATGATTTTAGCGATTTTATTCACCGAAATTGTTTCAAATTTGGTATTTAAAGTTCGTAATGGATGTTACAACCTATGAAAGAAAATTGTCTGCACAGGTCTACGTCTTCGTATAGCCCCCGTATGACGGTACCCCCCGATATTCGGTATTTTAATGATTTTATGGACATTTTTCATCAGAATTGTTTCAAGTTTGGTATTTAAAGTTCGAAATGAATTCTACAGCCTAAGACAGAAAATTGTCTGCGCAGGTCCGTCTCTTCGTAGAGCCCCCCTATAACGGTTCCACCCGATATTCGGTATTTTGATGATTTTAGCGAATTTATTCACCGGAATTGTTTCAAATTTGATATTTAAAGTTCGAAATGGGTACTACAGCCTAAGACAGAAAATTTTCTGTGCAGGTCTACGGTACCTCCCGATATTCGGTATTTTGATTTTATGACATTATAACCGATTTTTTAAGTCTCGTATTTGAATATTGTAATGGCTTATGACAAATGTTATCTACGCAGGTTCATGTCGTCGTATAGACCCTAACATAATAGCTACATTCGGTGTTTTTTAGATTTTAACAGAATTTTTAACGGATGTTATTGTTTTTAAAAATTACCAAATTCTTTCCAAATGGTGGAGGGTATTCAAAGTTCGGCCCAGCCGAACTTACAGCTTTTTTACTGTTTTTTTTTTTTTTTTTTTGAATTTTCAAGTTACTGGTGGAGGGTATTAAAAGATCGACCCGGCCAGAACTTAACTGTTTTTTCACTTGTTATTTATTATTACTTATTTATTTTTTTTTTGTTGTGATTTTAAGATAATTGCAATAACAAAAACACAACTATTATAATCGACCATTGCATATTTCCCAAACGTATACCAGAATCGAATGTGATTCCCAAACCTTCAAATGGTTCGATAAACCAACCATTTATTTCGTAATCCAACAGATACACCGAATGATAAATCACTGATATCGGTGCCGTAGTCGGAATTGTGTTGTTCATCATTGGCTTGTCACCGAATGCCATCAGATCTTCGAAGTATTTGACCTGAAATATGGATTGTTACATAATTAAATCATATTTATTTTTTGTTGACCTTGAATTTGAGCCTACATCGCGGGGCATAATTTCAACAATTTCGTCGTAGTCTATCCATATGACATCGGTATTGCACGATACGGCATTTGGTACTGTCGATTTGCCAAGGTAGACATTGTATTCAGAGCCCAAATTCAATATCATAAATAATGAAAATGCTTCTTCTTGCTCGAATTCGTAGACATCCTTGGGATTCTGCACATCTATCAAGTACTCATAAAAGTCGTTGGAATATTTCGATGCGGTTTCCTGGAATGCAATGCAATATTCATGAGGAAAAAAATTGAAATAACTCACAACTCACCATATGCCTCCTCACTAAAATGACAATTCCAAAATTTCTCTTGGCAGCCTCTTCATAGCTTTGAAATCGGGTATTCGAAAATACCGCATGAAGCTCAAAGGGCAAAACGCCGGATTCTTTTGCCAATTTATGATCGGTCCAATAGAAATATGCAAATTCAAATTTGTATTTTTCATCACCCAATGGACCATTCTGGAGATAAGGCACGTCTTTGGGTTCGTACGATGCTGTTATCCAAATTGTTTCACCAGTATTCTCCAATCGCCCGGCCCTTGGGTCCCTTGAGAAGTTCATATAATCAATATTGCTGATGTTCCTTTTTACGGATTTCAAATAATTTTGTTTCGAATGAATGTTGTATTTCTTGCCAATGCATTTGGACTTGGATGCAGCAACTGGAAAAATAGTCACACGAGTATGGATGGAATCAGTATTAAGGGAGTAACAGGTAGAGAGGCATCTTTTATTGATTTGGAATTCCATTTTGTCTGGGTGGTGAATGGTGAGCGGTACCGTGAGATCATATCCAAATGATTATGCCCTCCGGCATTTGGTTATAAAGGGCAAAAATGCCATGTCGAAATAACGGTTTTAGATCCTAGGTCTCTTTGGAACAAATCAGTTTGAAGATATTTAGAGTCGACCTAGGGATGTCCGTTCGTCCGTCAGACTCACTAGCTAGCTGGAGCGCATTATAACTCTCGAAGGGAGTGTTCGATATGATCCAAATTTGGTACATCGTAATGTTATTGTCTAACTTAGAGCGAGTTTGGAGGTGGGCAACATCGGCCTACACCTTAGGATACCTCCCCCCCAAAAGATCAACATTTTCAAAGAAAATAATTTACCTCATTCAAATAGAGATGGAATCATTCGATTTTGTGCAAACTTTGCAAATGACAATATTTTTGTCATCGGTCCACACCTTAGGATACCGCCCCCACAATAGTCAAAATATTCAAAGAAAACAATTTACCTCTTTCAAAATGATGAAATCATTCGATTTTGTGCAAATGTTACAAATGACAATATTTTTGTCAGTTCTAGGTCGAGTGCGAAAATGGACGACCCCACAAAGGGTCAAAATTTGGAATAATTGCATCTTTTACAAAATGTGAAATAGGAGTTCGATTGTCTGCTAATTTCGCAAATCCTAATATATCTGACAACACAAGATCTGGTGTAAAGGTGGAATACAGGGCGAGAAAAAAGCGCCATATTTTTACATTTTCTTTTCAATTTCGTTGAATGAAAGCAAAATATGTCGGAAATGTATCAACTTTTAGAATAAGTTTAGATTCGTTCAAAATGGTAATCTTTGGCCCGAATTATGGCCTTCAACCGGCCAATGAAATCGTCACACGCTGCCCGAATGTTGCTCGGCGGTATTTTGGCCCATTCCCGACGAAGGGCCAAAAGGGCAAGTGCCAACCTTGCTTTCCAAAATACTTCAGACACAATAGTCCAACGGATTGGTATCCGAAGATTTTGGTGGCCATTGTGCTCTGGAAATAAAGCGAGGAACCTCATTTTGTAACCATTCTTTAATGGCGCATAGCACGCTCGATGGTGCTGAGTCCTATGGGAATGGCCAAGGTTTGCGTACCCAGAACTTTAATACACCCTCCATAATATTTTCGCAATAGTATTGGACAATTATTCTGATGCCACGGCCGATTAATACAAGCAGAGAGCTACTATCGAAAGTTATGGCGTCCCACAACACACACCATGGACGGCGCTTGAGTTCTGGTAACCAACCGAAGGTGCACATTTTCAGCTGACCTCTTTGGCAAGCAAGTTCACAAACTGCTGGACAACGAATGTTTTCTAATCGGTGACGGAGAAGACCAAATTCGGCAGTTTACCACTTTCGGCCAAGCAAAGCAACTCTTTGGCTCTTTTGAGTCTATTTTCTTTCTGTTGCGGTGTAAGTTCTTGTACTTTTTTGAAATTTAAATGACTTTACCCCGAGCTCACTTTTCAATATTTGCCGAATGGAAATTGCGTTATGTTCAGCTCACGAGCCATTTTTTGGCCACTGCGACGCTGGTTTTGATCAAGTCGCTTTTCTACTTTTCGAACCATTTCTACTTTCTTGACGTCGGGCTACGCTACCAGTATCACGTAATCGGTAACGAGCGATGGTACGAGAAACAAAAATTTATTCACATTTAAATGCTGGAAAGGTCTACCGATAGCCACTTGTGGTTTTCGAGTCAAATATAAAGATATCATACTATCACGCTTGAATTCCATCACGAATAACTTTTTTCTGAAAAATTCTCATGAACAAAATGCAGGTCGCAATTATTATCCAATTGAGATGAATTTTTCCAAACAATATTTGTTTGGACCCTATTGAAATTGGTAAGAATTGGTTCAAATTTATATATGGCTCCCATATATATATTTCCAACAGGTTATTGTTTACCAAATGGACAATATCAGTCCAAATTACATGAATTTTTAACCCATCCAACCGAATTCAGTCTAGAAGCAAGTACATCAAATTTTGAGAAAATCGGTTCAGATATAGCTATAGCTCCCATATACACGGTTCATCCGATTTGGGGTTTTATGTCCCTCACATGCGTAATAAGCACTCTACAACATTGATATTTGGTACCAGATATCATATATGGATCGAAATACCTTTGCCAAATTTAATCTAGATCGTCTTTGGATATGGCTCCCATATGTCCTTAATTCGATTTCAGGTTTGTTGTGCAAATAATGGCTAATATCAGCCCAAATGGAGTGAATTTCGGGACGTACGTTTCCATTTTGTGCAACTTTTTATATCCTCCACCATAGTATGGAGGGTATATTAAGTTTGTCATTCCGTTTGTAACACCTCGAAATGTACATTTTAGACCCCACAAAGTATATATATTCTTGATCAGCATAAAATTCTCCGTCGATTTAGCGATGTTCGTCCGTCTGTGGAAATCACTCTAGCTTCCGAACGAATTGAAATAGATTGATAAAATTTTACTCAAATGTATATTATGTCTGCAGGACTTTTGGTATTGAAAATGGGCCATGTAGGTCCAAGTATTGGTATAGCCCCCATATAACTGTACCTCCAGATATTCGGTACTTTGTTGATTTTGGCGATATTATTCACCGGAATTGTTTTAAATTTGGTATTTGATGTTCGTAATGGATGTTACAGCCTAAGACAGAAAATTGTCTGTGCAGGTCCACGTCTTCGCATAGCCCCTATATAACAGTACCTCCCGATATTCGGCATTTTGATGATTTTACAGACATTATTCGCCGGAATTGTTTCAAATTTAGTATTTGAAGTTCGCAATGGATGCTACAGCCTATGACAGAAAATTGTCTGTGTTGGTCCACGTCTTCGTAAAACCCCCATATAACTGTGCCTCCCGATATGCGGCACTTTATTGATTTTAGCGATAGTATTCAGCGGAATTGTTCAAATTTGGTATTTGATATTCGTAGTGGATAATACAGCCTAAGACAGAAAATTGTCTGTGCAGGTCCACGTCTTCGCATAGCCCCCATATAAAGGTACTTCCCGCTATTCGGTATTTTAATGATTTACAGACAATATTCGCCGGTACCTCCCGATATGCGGTATTTTGATGATTTTTGCGACATTATTTACCGGAATTATTTCAAATTTTGTTATTGAAGTGCAGTTTTATGACAAAAGTTGCGCATGCATGTCCATATCATCGTATAGATCCTAATATACGGCTGCATTCGGTATTTTTAAGATTTTAACAGAATTTTAAATGCAGTTTAATTTTTTTTTAAATTGCCAAATTTGTACCAAATGGTGGATGATATTCAAGGTACGGCCGAACTTACAGCCTTTTTACTTGTTTTTTTTTTTTTTTTGAAAATCTCTCCTATGGCTCTCGTTTTCTATGTAAGCACACACACACACATACATACAAATGTAAATACACACCACCATTCCAGATTGTTAATAAAACAATAATTTTCAAAACTTTCAAATTCAACATTTTTTTGATATTTTCCCACTAAGTATTTTATTGAATACTACTGCTTGTTTTGCTGTCGAACTGATGTGTTACTCGTTAATTTTTAGATTTCAACAACTATTATAACTACCATTGACCTTGTCCTCATGGAAATCTCAATGGGGAACACTTATTGTCATATTCGAAGTCAAAGCAAAAAGAAATTACCACTGCTGTCGCTATTAAAAAAAATCACAGAAATGTTTAAACCGTGTCCCAGTCGAATAGAAATAAACGCTCTGAGGTAATTGCTCCAAGCGTAACAAGGATAAGATCGTTTCCCAGGGTCCGAAGGAAATTAACTGTGCGTAGAGCTTGAATATATTTTGCTTTTTATATATCGCGAAATGTGTAGGAACAGCGAGGGCTCTTGTGTGAGAAATTTTTATACTCTCAGCCATACGGCTGCAGTGGGTATATATCATTTGATACGGCCAAAAAGTGCCTCATCGTAATAACGGTTTTAGACCCTGGGTGTCTTTGGACCAAATCCTTTTAAGGTCGTAAACAGCCGATCTAAGGAAGTATCTACACTTTCCAAAATAAATGTGCACTAACTTCATTGGGGAACACTTAACGGGAGTGAGGGAGTGAGTCTCTATGGTGGAAACCTGGCACGACTTAATATTTTTGTGACTTGAGGTCTAATATTGGCCACTTCTTCAGCCAATAAAGGCTTAATAAAAGTCAAAATATATTTTAAACCATTAAGGAAAGGTCAAAAATCAGGCGGGGCCGACTATACGATACCCTACACCACTTTGTGTATTTAGCAGCGGAACTGTAAAAAAGAAGTTTATGTTGGGATCATACCAACTTCGAACTTTATTTGAATGCGTATCATGGCTCCACAATTTGCGAACTATATCCAACTTCAAATCGATTTTCCACAAATTGGACAGAGGCTTTTGTATCTCTAGTACCATATAATATTGCTGTATGACTTCAATAAGAACTATATTAAACATGTAAAAAAACAGCTAAGTTCGGCCGGGCCGAACTTTTAATGCGCTCCACCATTTCGAAGAAATTTTAAAAGTTTCGAAAAAAAATCCGAAAACTAACACTTAAATGAAAATCGTTATATGGGGACTATATGAAGGCGTGGACCTGCCTACCAGTAGGCAACATTTTAACCTCCTATCTCAATTCGTTCGAAAGATTGCGTGTTTGCAACCGACAGACAGACGGACATCGCTAGATCGTCTTAGAATTTTACGCTGATCTAGAGAGTATATACTTTGTAGAGTCTATTATGAATATTTTGAGGAGTTA